ACGAACCACAACGTTGATGCAAAAAACAATTGGAATAATTCTTGTGCAGTAGTGCATTTGGCAGAATGGAGGGGTTGAAAGAGCCTGTGTGAATGAAAGAACGAGTAGTGCTGAAAAGTGAAGTGCAAAACGACGACGGATGGACGAAGACGGCCCGCCGAAGGACGCACATGTGCTGGACAGCCACGCCCACAATCAATCGCCCTCCGAGCGTGGAAGATGAGCTGATCTACAATTAACCCGGAACACTATGGCTCACCACAGGTCAACGGGCTTTACCCGAAAGCTTGATCATTTCCCCTAGGCGTAGGAGCCTGCATTTTTTGCAGCCCCAGAAAACAGGCGGCAACGGTTGTAAAGTCAATATCCAGGCTGCCAAGACAACATCGACTTATCGAGCTATAAAGGAACAAGCCGAGGTGGTGCTCCTTCCAAAAGGAAAAGATATCTGCTGGGAGCGTGATATCAAAAAGCGTTAGTCTGTAGGCTTGTAAGCAGAGTTCACGATGATTTTGTGGTACCTTCTCAGACTAAAAAGCGGTAGGGTTGGCGAAGAATAGAGCATCGGTAGCGAAGAAAGCGAGAAATTCTGCCAATTCTGCGGGAAATGAGGTTTACTTTAAAAAATAGAGGGTAAACGAGATTATTATGACGGAAACGGCATGGAAAGGAAATTAGGACGACTTTTTAGCGCGAACAACATTTGTCGAAACTACGTAAAAAGCCAGCTATGGTAGACGAAATTGCCTAAAAATGCCTTCCAGCTGTCGCAATGAGTCACGACTAGTTGTTCGGATTTCCTACTCGGATGCTCCCTCGTAAATGGAGCAGCTTCTGTGACGCCGTTGAAACTCGTCCATCTCTGGGCGTGTACGTCGACAGATCCGACTACTGAGCCCTTGATACGCCGTACCTGAGCAGCTTTTTGACCCAACAGCGCCTTATATGACGGGAATGGAGGCCACAGGTTCGTCCTGAATGGAAATCTTGGTACCCTTTTCTCTCGTGAAGTGTGAATCTGGATGACCCGTTGCAGATTTCTTTTGGATGACATGGAAAGCATCGGCATGTGCTGGCTTCTTACGATACACCACCATATTCCAATCCTGATCGGGGGCCGTTATGTTTTGTTTATTCACTTATTGGACTTATTTGAACAAAAACCAGAACTCCATGCCTCATTCAGCCCCACACTTTCCTCGTTAACGTTTTTTGTCCGTCGTATAGAGCGGCATCATTTGTTTTATTCCCGATGATTTGGGTAGTTCTGTCTGCTTGGTGGTGAACACCGTATTGAATTCAAGCTTTTAACGAGCCGATAATCTCATTGTACACTGAACATAAAGCAGAATTGACTCAACCCAGCGGAAAAAAGGTATACCCCCTGCATCCCTCCTCCCTCAGGGCGGTGGTACCTAGTGATTTTTGATCTGCGCTTCACCTCTATCTATCTTATGAGACCTCAGTCAACCAACTGGAAGTCCATCCTTAATTTACGATCCTCCAAAAGACGATCCTTATAATTCAATCGGTAGGTCGACACAGAAATTTTGGGTAAAGGCTGATCTGGTTACCCGGTACTAAATCCGTGGAAATCGATGTTCTAGGAAGCGACCGTGGAGAGCATCTAAGAAGAGGTGGCTAGACATTATCAAGTACCTCAGGCCTCAAGGTAATCAAAGTGGGACTTGTATAATAGATAGAATGAAATGGGGGCGACTAACAAGAACAAAAACAGCGGACCTTGGGTACCCGATTTGAATAAGGCCCTTTCTGGTTCTATGATAAAAGGCATACAGATGCTTCAGGCATCCATTAGCTCTACCCTATTCTTATCCTATAAAGTTGATATTAGTAATGAATCGCCTAACCTAGATCAGGCATGAAAGGAGCTTCGGCCATCTTCACGGTATCTCATTTGATTGAACAATGGAGACAATGGAGTAAAATTCATGCCAAGCAGATGTTCGCCCACCCATTCTCTTTCGCTTATGCTTATTGTAACCCATCAATAATATCCCATATCATTACCTGCCAGTGACATCAGTTAGTGAAAAATGCTCTTATCCACCTGTCACCAACCCCTTTCTGCTTCATACCACTTGCTCTTGCTTTTTCAATAGGTCTAAGTCGATCGGAACTAAGCTTTCTCCCAATTACATTTTGCAAGCATTCCTTCAAGATGATAAAGTTTCTAGGTAAAGCCCAAGCCCATGCTCGAAAAAATTCTGACGTCGTAAATTATATACCGCTGCCGTTTGGGGCGGAGGTGGTATAGTGGCAAGTGGCGCACTTCACATGTGCGTGGTCAAGGGTTTGAGTACCAGAGCCTAGGCTAACCAAACCTTCCATCCCCCACTGTCGGTCAATTGGTAACAGACTTGTGTGGGAGGATAAAAGCACTGACCTGTACATCGGCAGATACCGCAATTCATTTTGTAGGCCACATACGCCTACGATTCTGAATGGAAATCGAATGCTTGGGCGCATCCCTCAGGCGAGATTGATTCACACCCTTAGACTTTTACTTCGGGCTGAATATTTAATCGAAGTTTGTTTTTGCAAATTCGATAGATTTCTCGTAAGCACTGAGTCAATCCCGGCCTAAGATAGAGGTAAACCCATATGGGTGCGGCTTGCTTTCAGATTAATATCTCACATCGGATTTCTTCCCTAAAACCGGTTTTCATCGGTCAAGATGCTCGAAGAGAGAGCCATAGCAGGAGGGGACGTTATTTCTTCTTCTTGAAGACTTCCAGGCAATCAGGCTGTTCGTCGTATATCGAATCAGGTTCCAATCCAGAACATAGGGAAGAAAACGCACCTAATTATTTTTCCTTTTTTTTTCAAAAAAAAAGAACTTCGGAGCGGTTTTTTTAGACTAACGGATATGTCGCCGACCCATGTATGAGCTAGAGCGAACATCCAGATCCAGAGGATTGTGAGAGGAATTTCCTGATCTGTTTTGATGATGTACCCGACTATATTTTGACGTTATTGGTCTGTTGAGGGGATCGCCTAGAAAATAGTGTTGATAAATCGTCCATTAAAAACCACAATGGAAGTTTAACTTCGTTTGCAACCCACACAGCGACTTGCGGTGGCCAGCCGATGTACAAGCCAGTGTTTTTATCCTCCCAGACGAGCCTCGTACCAATTAGCCGACTCCGTTGGGATGGAAGACTTATTTAACTTAGGCGGATATCGGTCAGGGACCCGATCTCCTGACAGTGCCTGTGTTATAGTCTGCCCATTACCACTACTTTACCTCCGCTCTTCCACCCACTCCCTTCGTGGTCCCCTTCCATTTTCAACTATATGGTCTGTTTTGAAATAGAGGTTTGTAGTCTAGCGTAAGTAGAAACATCTAGGAGAACTTTTTGATGGGTGAGAAACGGGAAAACGAGTAGATGATGAGGGATAGAAGTGTAACGGAAGCGCTTGACATCGTCTAGAGAAAAAAAAAGGATAATGAAAAGAGAAGGGAAGACGGACTTGCTGCTTTCGTGACCTGTGATCAGTTTTGTTGTAGGATTGAACGGATTTTCAAAAATTGAAACTGCACATCAACCTCCACACTGAAGAATTTCTAGTCAGTCGCCGAAAGGCTGAGTTGTGTGACTGACCAAGATAACTAGATAAGTTACATCGGGCTTTTCAGTTGAACACAGCTATTTTCGTTTTTATCCAGTTGCCAGTTGACCACCTACCCTGTGCTAAATAAGAGAAGAGATCTATCCTGATAGAGAACCAGAATAAAGTTTGATAGGGAGGAAATGAAACTCCTTATCAAAACTAGCAAAGCCATGAGACCGACAGGAATACCGACCAGGAGATATCGAAACCAGGATGTGACAGGAAAAAAAAGGAAAATTGAGAGTTCCAGCCCGTTCTATTGGAAAACTGGAAAACAAGATCCCATTGAATCGTTAACACTCAGCTTTGCCAAGTCACGGGCCCGATCGTGTGCGGTTAACGCGCTCCACCTAGAGCGCTAGAATTGGCGCGCTGCTTGAAAATTCAAAAGATTCAGCTCACAAGTAGCGTTTTGGCGGCTTTTCCCTGTTTTGTGTTTTGATTCAATTTCTCTCCCTTTTCTTTTTCATTTCGTGTGGGGTCGTTTAGGCAGATGTCGCAAGTTCCAGAGTATAATGTTCTACATGTGCGGGCTTTGAATTGTCGAGCTTGCATGCTGCTCAAGATTGCGTCAAATTTTTTTGAAGCACTACATTATGAAATACTTAGGGAAAAGGGTACTTTGAAAGAGAGTATCAACATTCTCTTATGTCAGGTCCTACATTTTAAGTTTGTTTTACTCACCAACGATAATTGTTTTGCACGGATAGTTTTCCTCTTCTTTGGTCATGCTCCTGATAGAATGAAGCTGACCTATGTTAAAAATCATAACAAAACATAGTTGTACATATCCAAGACATGCGTAGTCTTTGTTAAAATAATGTACCGGCAGTACATCAAGAGCGGAACGGTGTAATACGTGGAGAAATATAATTGTGTACCGTTCTCTTTATCTGGCGGGTTATGAGAGCACATATAGGGGTCTCGTAACCAGGCGGAAATGAGCTATAAAATAAGATCTATCAAAAAATTCCTGCCCATAGATGATATAAAGGTGGAGGCCACTAAAGTCGCTCATTCGAACTCAGTGATGTCATCGAGTTTTTACGCTTTCTGCGATCTGTTCTGTAGTCATTAACCAACTGAAACAATGTTTTTCTCAGGATGTCGTTGAAAAAGGTGGACAAAATCAACGTTCGAGTAGCGGTGAGAGTCAGGTGAGCAGTTACCCAAGATTTTCTATGTTTCTATTCTTTCCTGGAATGATTAGACATGTTCTTAACGCATGGCTGAATTTTCTTTTGTTCTTTGACGCATTTTCAAAACCACAATTCAATTATAGATAACAGCATAACTATATTTCTGCAGATGCTTGGTTGTATTTGAAGGCCAAATGTATGCGTTTATAATATTCGAAATTAAGGCCAATGAGTGACATGGAAAGGGCCGATAATGCTACGTCTGTGGTGAAAGTAGAGGAAAAGAAAATGATGGTAACGTGCAAGTCTAAGACGTTTTCAGCGTTTGATAAGGTTGGTTCTTGGTCACTTGTAAGAATTTTAATATGTATATGTTGGAAGGAAAAGATAGCAGACGAACTCACTAAAAGCTCCCTTATAGACGTTAATTGGTTATTCATCGTCAGAGTGTTCCTTTTAAACCGTTCCATTTTTTTTGTTCCCGGCTCTTTGTATTTCGTGATATTTACATAACATTTGCTATAACCACCCAGTAATGTACGTAGAAGTGCAGTTCAAAGACAAAGGTACCGATAAAATGAAAATTCTAGATTAAGGATACTTTCCTTTATTTTCTGACCATGATATGAACTAATTCACAGGTTTACGGGCCTTCAACAACGCAAGAACGGATTTACGCGGAAATGGTTTCGCCCCAAGTGGATCGTGTTCTAGCTGGGTATAACTGCACGTTATTTGCGTGAGTATACTTATTTCTACTCATTATCTACGCTTCTTTATAACCTCTACCGTTCCAGTTATGGCCAAACTGGAACAGGAAAAACGTACACAATGGAGGGTGGAAGAGGCGAACGCTCTTCTTATAAGGACGATCCGACTACTGGCATAATCCCGCGAGCTGTGGAGCATATATTTGAGGAGCTCGAGAAATCAGTCAGTTTATAGCACGTCTGCGATACCCTTTCCATACACCCGTTCTCGGTCTGTCCCTTTCACATTGAAATGCAAACCTTTGCAGAATACTGAAGAATACAGCGTCCGAATCAGTTATCTGGAATTGTATAATGAAGAATTGTTTGATCTCCTTGCAGCCACCACCGATGATCGCGAAAGATTAAGAATTTTCGACGACCCGTCAAAAAAGGTATTCCAATTAATTGTTGTGCCTACCCGCTTTTTTGAATGTATTTTCACATTTCTCAGGGTATGGTCGTTATATCCGGCGCTGAGGAGCTCCCAGTAAAAAATCGTTCCGAGGTTTACGCCCTTTTGAAGAGAGGAGCCGAGAAACGAACAACAGCTGCAACACTCATGAACATGAATTCCAGGTTAGGTTTACTTGCATTGAATCAACATTTCTGAAGATACTAGTGGTCTGGGGTCTACTGGCATACAAACAAATTTCCTGTTTGTTGAGTGGCTTCCTATAAAGTCCGCACGCATATTGGTGCTAGCCTTGCTTTGCCTAATCAACTCTTTGTTGAGAGTAGGTTTTATCTCAGATTTGTCGCTTCAAAGGACATTATTTCGGCAGATCTCCTCGTAATCGCAACCATACATGATCTTTTTGGAGTTTTGTAATTCTGAGGTGTTTTGAAGCATGAACATCGCTTTCCGATTAAGATTTTCTTACTTTTGTTCTTATCGGCAATTTGCACTTCGTTCGATGGTCGAACATTTTGTAGATTATTAATCTGTTGCTTTTGTCTTACTGATGCTATTTTCCTATTAATCTAAATGCGGAAGATGAAAATGGTGAAAAATATGGTAATTCACTTTGCTTTTTTAGTCGATCCCACTCGATATTCATTGTCAGCGTTGTAATTCGGGAGAACACCCCAAATGGCGAAGAACTAGTGAAACAGGTTAGTTTCTGAAATGTTCAGCTCCAACCTTATCAGTATTGAGCACTACTAGCGTCAGCGAAAGCCACAACATATTGTTTCTGAGTGCTCGTGGCGCCTATTTTTTTTTNTTTTTTTTTCTAGAAACATCTCATTTTCTTGATGTCTCGATAATATCCATGTCAACAGGTAGTAATGTTATCTCTTGAACAGGGTAAACTGAACTTAGTCGACCTTGCCGGCTCTGAGCACATCGGACGATCTGGCGCGGAAGGCAAACGAGCCAAGGAAGCAGGTTTGTGACGTCGCTTCTGATCATACCCCTGATCCTGGCGATAATTTGTGGTGTTCAGGAAATATAAATCAATCGTTGCTCACATTGGGTCGTGTTATCACGGCTCTTACTACATCGGCTCCCCATGTTCCCTATAGGTAACTCGCTATATCTTGTCCTTATTGCGTTTGGTGTCTTACGACCGCTATTTCAAGAGAGTCGAAACTTACTCGTCTTCTGCAAGACAGTTTGGGAGGTTCAACAATAACATCGATCATAGCTACCCTTTCACCGGCATCATCTAACTACGAGGTTTTTCTTCATTGCATATTTTCGTTTACTATTTAGTGATGATCAAGGAAGTGTTTGCAGGAAAGCATATCGACATTGGAGTACGCAGCAAGGGCGAAATCTATCAGAAATCACCCAGAGTGCAATCAAAAGTTATCGAGAAAGGCTCTTCTCAAGGTTGGGCGGTCCTTTTTCTTATTTGTTGGCAGGAGAATACTCTGATTGTTCAAGGAGTACAACGAGGAGATCGAAAAGCTTCGTAGAGATCTCCGTACAGCACGGGAGAAGAATGGAATATTCCTTAGTCAAGAGAGTTACGCGTAAGTTTATCAACATTTTATTCAATACTTTCTCCCTTTTGGTTCCTCCCTCTTCATTAAAATACATTAATTCTGAAATTTGACATCGATTTTTGGCCGTTATTTCAGGGGAATGGAGCAAGAGATTGCAGAGAAGACCGAGCAATTGCAGGAGTTGGAGGGCCAATTGGATGCCGCCATAGGGAAACTGCAGAAGGTAATCTAAGCATTCCTTGGAGTGTGTTTTTCGTGATATTTTTTTGTGGTTTTCTATGATCTTTTGCTCCTTCTTTTAGCATTGGACCATGTTAATTCAAGTAATGTTTTTCAGTTCATTGAAGACCAGGAAATGATGGATGAGCAATATCGTGAGCTGTATCACCGAAATAAAAGGCTTGAGGCCAAATTACGACAACGTGTTGAGGAACTGGACGACACGAAGAAGGTTTGCCATAAAAAGCGTCTCAAGTGACCGTTGAAGCCGGCCTCAAGAGGTTTTTCACCGATCTCATTATTACAGGACTTATGCGTCACGACCGATCGTTTGAATGTATTTGATCACGCTTTTAATGAGGCGCATGACTTGGCCATGCAATTATATCACTGTCTCAAAGAGGTAATTTCTTGAATCGCCCACAGTTTTTTTGTTATCCTTCTCACATAATTGATGATGATATTTCTTCCCTTATGATAAGAACGCTTAGAGCACTATGATACACTTTCATTCAAAAATCATGCAACATATAAGCCACAATTTTCCAGGCACGAATTACGGTCTTTGATCAGCAGCTTGATCTGGAAGATTGGTGGGCGAAGGAGGAAAATTTGTCGCAGCTGATTGCTCAAAACAAGCAAGTTGTCGTAGCAGCGCGTTCCAAGGTACAGACTTGGCTTTTGTTTTTCGATTTCTCAATGATCACCACAGTGTTTTAGGTGACGGCAGAAGTAACAGCGTGCTGCGCTGCTCTCACAGAGTTCATTGAAAATGGTGCCGAGCTCCGTAACACCATCAATAAATCTATAGGTGCGTTCAGCCACTGAATGTACTGCTTTAATTATGAAATTGACCATGAACGGCTTTTTTTTTTGGGAAAAGTTTGTTTGTCTGAAATAGATTAGAATATGATGACCACTGTGCTTGCAGGATCGCGTCTGACGGATGTTAATGGGTCTCTAAATTTCTGCAAGGAAAGTGCATCGAGTGGTATGGAAATGTTGCAAAAATGGCTCGAAAATGCCAAAGAACTTTGCAAAACAGTTGTGCCAAAAATAGTTGCTATTTCGAGTGAATCTGCTCTGTTCACCAGGGAGAAAATGGTTGGTTTAATTGCTACACAGTAAAAAGCGGAACCTTATGCTTCTTATATTCCAGACAGATCAAGCTGAAAAGTTAGGCGAGTTGAATGGCGAGGTTTTGCGGCTTATTTCCGCTGTCAAGGAAGAAACGCAGAGCCTGTCTCGGACACTGGAGGGGTTAAAAAAGGACTCTGATCTTATGGTAAGCTACGCCTCCTCCACAGTATCCTTGTAGGGCGCCAACTCTCAATAAATGTTATGTCTTACAAGGTTACTTTAGCTCAAATTGAGGCGAGAATGCATTGAAGAAAATTTTGCTCAGCGAGCGAAATCCATCTTCACGTTGAGGCAACAGCAACATCATACGAATAAGGTAATTTAGACTTGGGCTTCTTCAAGAAGTGTCCACAATGTTGGCTAATCTAGATAACCGAAATGGCTCAAGCAATTCTGGCAGAATGTGCTTCTTTCCAGACGGAAAATCAGGAAACGCTTTTGTTGTAAGTGATTTGGGTTTCTTTGAGTGAAAAGGAACAACTCGCCGTCCGATGCAATCGTAAAGTTGCTTTTTATGTAGGATGGAGTCTCAAGACAAGGACGTCTTGGAAAGGAATCGAGCCGAGATCGAGGCTTGGCAATCGACTTTCGAAGGCAGCGAGAATTCAGCCAAACAAGCAATACAATCAGCAAACGAAGTTCTCGATACTACAATGAATACGGTATCAGAGAGAACGTAGGTTCTTGCTATGTTTGAACGCTTGATCTTTACACCATTATTTCTTTTTAACTACTTTTGCTTCTCAGGCAGCAGAGTGGCTTTCTTTGTGCTCCATTTGCTCTTGGTTATTCCTTGTAACCTTCTGCCATTCTTACAATAATTTGATTTTCTAACACTTTTTTGTTCGTGCCGTTCGTTCGACTCATTGTACCTGTTTCATATTTTTTTTTTGGCAAATTTGCCCATGTTCTCAAGAGAAGTTCGTCTTTTAAAATTGTTATGGTCATGGAGCATTGCTAGAAGATCAGTACTGATCAATACGGGATTGGGATCTTGAGTTTCAGATCATCCTCTGTTGGCGTTCTGAAAAAAACGTGTGAGCTGGCAATGGAAGCTGGCGCTTCTGTAAAGGTATTTGCTTTTCTAGAAACATACAGTTGTTCGAATCGGGACACGTTTGTTTTCAGAAGCACGCGGAATCGTTTGCTGATGAAGTCGTTACAAAGAACATGTGGTTGAGTAGTAATATGGCAGATGTCTTGAATTCTATGCTTGAAAGAAGCGAAGTAATCGAGAAAGGCATCGCAGAAGTCGAAATCATCCGTCTGGAGGATCAAGATAGCCGAGTAAGTTCTTATAATCGTCATGAAAATAGCTCATGGATGGCTTAATATTTTAGGCCAAAAGTGATCTTACAACTGCTCAACATTTGCGTGATCGTCTTGGAGAGGTTAACAAAGAGATGCTGGCGACGGTAGATGAAAATTATTTGAGTCCGAAGAAAACAGGTTTAGTCGTTGGCATGGCTGCTTATTTTGCTAATTACCCTGAGCCGTAAAGGTTACTTTCCAGGAAGTACTCCTAAAAAGGCGCATTATCCAGTACCAAAGGATTCAGAATTACCTCATGTTCCGAAAAAGGAAAAAATTCTCGCTTCGAAAGGCTTGGACCTGAATGCTCAGGTTAGAATTCGCTTGGATTTTATTTCTTCTGTTCGCGTACTTTCATGATCGAAACATCTTAAGACTCCACGTAAACCGGCACTTCGTACCCGTGAATCTTTGCTGGAGGTTCAAAATGTCTGCATATCACCGGATACCCTCGTTGCTTCCAGGAAACAACGATTAGAGGATATCGGAGAGGTAGTTTGGCTTCAAAACGTGTTCAGTTATCAATTCATTTTTATGGAAGTATCAGAAGTACAACAGTTTTATGTCCATATTTGGTTTTACGGCAATTTTTGAAGCGGCAATATGTGCGTTTTGAGTTTCTACAATTACTGCTACTACCTTGCTTTGAAAGTATTTAAGCCCGCTGGAGCGCACATCTTGAGTGCTACATTTTGTTAATTTCCTTTATTATTCGTTAGAACTTTTGCCTAAGATTTTTGTCGGTCGCTGAGGATTGATAACAAATGTATTCCCAGTCGGCATGCCATAACTTTTTTGAAATATGGACAGAAAACTTGCTGTAGAGTTTGTATCAGTAATATTCGAAGGATTCTCAGTGATTTTGAAAACCAAATCAATTTTGAGATCAATTTGCTATGAGTTTGGATTGTTCTCTCTATAGGAGTCCGTTGGTCTTTCCAGTCGAGCAGGCAGTGAAGTATCCAAGGAAAACGTAGAGAACTGAGAATGTCTGTTGATTTCCTTGCTTATGTGATTCCAAAATTAGTTCTCGTTGAAATTGTATGATATCAAATATTGTGTACTAACTCAGTCGTTATGCTCATTCTCACGTTGGGAAAAAGGCGTCTGTGGCCGTTTCGATTTACTCTGATCTCATGTCCAATTTCCAAAACTGCTGAACGACCCTCGAAATGACAGTGAGTCTTTTTCTGTGCCACCTTGCGAGTTAACTCTTGTAGTTGCTAGCGCGTGGTCGTGAGATCGAGAGATCGGTTCCTTGATGAGTTACCATTGTCTGCCTTTTTCGAAAACGATTTTCTCAAAGAATTATTCAAAGATTTGGAAGAGTGATCAATCGCTTGTTGTACTATGTTTCTCAATCCAAACAGCCACGGTATCATATATATGTACTACCCTTCTCCGACAAGAGGTGATCATTATACTAGAACAGTGTACTTAAATTTAATTTTCTTTTCTTTGGCTTTTTATGTGCAATGTTTAGATAGCATGCGATTCCCTCGCGAAGATTCGTACCCATTTGAATTCGTTACTCGTTACTGCCTTTTCATGTCCATTATTTCACTACTTACACTACTAGACTCATTCAATAAAGAATTTCTTGATGATGGTGATATTGTAGTTGAGCCTTGATTGGGTTTTTTTGTAGTCCTCTTATTTGTATCGGCGGGGAATTAAGCGCAGCTTCACTGCGATGGATTAGGCTTGTTTATAATACTCGATAATGTTGGTACAGTAATCGAATAAGTTGTTTTTAAATTTCCTGAAATGTGCAAAACACTGTCGAGCTAACAACGTGATTTTGTCCTCTAATCCAAACGACTGTTTTTATAGTCCGCCGACCGACTCGCACCCCGGCTGCCGACTATGAAAGCAGCCACTGTGATTTGGGTTTCACTAGTGGGCCTTGAAGGAAAAGTTTTCAAAGAAATTCACTAAACGAAGTTAGACCTTCGCCCAGATCGTTTATAGAATCCGGTCGACGCTTTGCGTAATGAGCCGTAATTGGATCCCCGGATCGCGGGTCTGGAAGCACGCCACTTCGTACTGAACCACCACACCCATCATTAAAGACAGCGTTTACGATAAATTTAGGGTACCCTTTTTTGACGAAAATTGATAGAATTACTCTAGAATAAAGCGATAACAACGAAAAAAGCGTAAAAAACGACGAACAAAAAGAAATACAATGAGTCAAAAAGAGCTGGAAAGGGGGTTGGACGAGTTTCACTTTGCAAGAACGGCGGTCAAGGGAGGGTTCCGGCGAGTGCACGAAGGCGACGCAATGTCTGCAATTGCAGACATCACACCCAAACAGCTGTTTTCGCCTTTCGCGATTACATGACACTGTGTCGTCTCTACATCTCGTCTAACGTGACATCGGTCAAGGGGCGGAGACGCGAACTACGGCAAGAACAGGGCCGCCACTATGCCCTGGACGTCGAAATTGGGGAAGGGTCCCTTCTACAACCCATGGGGGCCGCTGAGTATTAATGAGGTAATAACTCAATAACCTTTTTATCGTGAACGATGCCTTTAAAGCATGCTTTGGTCAATCAACTCGCAAACTTGTTGGCAAAATGCATGGGCTATGAGTAGAAAATTTCAATTTATTCAATTAGTGTATTCGGATGAGTCAACTGCCTACTTTTTCACGAGCCTGGCTGAATTACCATTTAGTTGCCCAGCGACATGTCATGTTTATGCCTTTTTTTCTATTCACGTGGTTTCTGAATTAATTATTAATGGTTTTGCGTGGGATTTGTACTCAAGTGAGAATTTTGTTCGATCTTTGTAGCCAAGGATTTCTTGAAAATCTATCGCAGTGATCACTTGGTCATACTTTGCGTAGGCGTACGTGCGTCATACGTCAGATGTCATGAGTCAGAAGGCGGTCTCAGGACTTAACTCTATGAATATCAGTCATGTCATGACTTTTGTAATGTCCACCTTTTTCAATTAGCCTCTCCGTTCGAAAATTGCGTGTGTTTTATTTTACTTTCATTATAGACTTTTATCGAAAAGCAAGTAGTGCGCAACAGTCGGCAGGGTTTTTTGAGCAGTTTCGCTTGACTAAGGGACGCCTTAAAGAAATCAATCCTAGTTTTTGAAGTGAATTATCATGCACGGAGTTGCCTTAGGTTAACAATCCCAACAAGTTTCTGGTATATAGTTGACCCATAGATCAGAGGCAACGTCGCAAACACTGACTTCCAGAACTTCGATGGTTCGGATCATGTGGAAAACGGTGAGAAAAATTTTTAGCGAGG